TCTGGCTATCCTATTAATCTACCTCTATGGCTACAACCAGCCTATTTGTGCAATGGTTCATATGTTTGTATCCGTCGAGTCCGCGTTTGTTATGTCCACACCTCAATTTGTGATAAGAGTAAGACGACTGAACCTTATTGAAGATAACTTATAGTTTATTCATTAAGACAATTTTGTCAGATGAATTAATAAATAAATAAATTAATAAATAAATGTTTCGCACTTGCATCCACGCTATTTTCACACGCCCGAAGATCGGAGGCGAATGCTACTTCGACTTGTTTCGTCTACTAACTACTCTCTGATGACAGTATTGGGGAAGCAGCATATGCATGTACGTAACTAGTGGATTTATTATTTAATTCGACGCTTTTGGAGATTGTTTGACATTTACCACTTTTTTAATAGTTTCTTGTAAAAAATCAACAGTTGAATCGATGCTTATGAATATTTTGAACCGATTGGTGGTAAAATTATTGAAATTGGTCCAGGGGGCAGCTGAGTTATTAACGTGCAAAATCTTTCATAATTTTGTTACATGTTCCATTTTCAGTTTTCACAAAGTGTACCCCTATATAGAAATCACAGACGTAGTCCTACGTCCAAACCACAAATCAGCCAAATTATCCAGAGTTACCCCTAATAAATGGGTACCATACACTAACGATATCATAGATGGTACGACCATACCACATAAAGTCGGGATGATATCCCGAATTGGTGGTTAGGCGCTTCTTATGGTTATTGTTTATGCGGGACGTCCAATCGAGAGATATTGGGAAGCTTTCTGGAAAGAAACAAGGAAGTGAACTCCATCCATAAGGGTCTGTACAGACCCTTATGGATGGAGTTAAGCTTAAAGTTCAAAAATTTTATGCAAATACCGACTAACTTTGTTTTGACTTCGTGAATTTTCAAATCACATCCCATGAATCTGAAGTAAACAACTACAATTTAAATATTATGCGAAATATGTGTTTTACTTAAATTTTGATGTGTCCGGATTATTGTGGATACAGACCTTATTTGGCAACAATCCCTCATTTGTAGCTATATTAAAAATCATTACATTTTTCTTAAAATATTGATTCAGTTAAAGGGTTCCGACTGTGCACGTCAATGCAAGTCTAATATCACGATACACTGAATAATTTTAAAAATCTGACCATCCCTCGCGTAAACCCAAAACCCAACTCCCTCCGGGCATAATGGGAAGGCAATTTATTCGAGGGTGTTATGGGCAGTTTGAAGTCATATTTTTGTGATTTTTCCCCCGTATCCTGGAGCCGGATTCCAGCGACACTTCCACCATCCGCTCCCTTTCCCCGATGCAACAACGTTATGGCCATCTCCCGGAGCAATTTCCTATCATATATTTCATTTTACGACCTGCACCACGCTCCGAAGTGGGTGCGCCTTCTCAGCCAGCGATATAGTCTCTGATAGTCAACTCACATGCACGAGGGTTCAGTACAAAGGGATCCTCTCCAGCAAATCCCCTTGTTCCGTAATAATAGTGGCTCAGAGCATAGTGTACCGGGAACTAACGGCACCAGATTATATTGGCTTCGGGATCAGGATCACCAGCACCAGCACCACCGTCGTCGTCGTCGTCGACGTCGTTGTCGTCATCGAAGCGAAAATTTTTATGGAACGGAAGAAATGGCATCTGGGAAGCGAGGGAAGCACTCGAAAAACTGGAAATAATTGATAGAAAATGGCCAAGTCACGTGCAAGCGTAACGAGGTTTGAGACGAGCTTATACGGGACAGAGATTAACTTTTGCAAAAACCGGGATTAAACGAGATATTTATGGAGTGAAAAACGCGTCCAATATTGCTTTCGGGACAGTAACGTGTGAAACTTTAGCATCTCTGCATCCCATCAATTGACGGAGCAACGGACAGCAGATAGCGGTGATGGTCACAGGATTATAACAAAAAAAAAAGTCGACAACGTCAACCTTTCCGGATCCATCACTTCCGGAATCAATATCAATCTTTCGCAAGATTGCATATTTTTCGTACCTTTCTCACCCCCTCAGGAACGCAGTTCAATCATCGCGTACTGAAAGACCCTCAGACCACAAAAAAAGGCAACCTAATTCACTTTGCGCAAATTGAATCAAAGTTTTCCCCCGGAGGGTGATTGATGGGAGATCACTCCGGTCGCCGTCCTTCCCCCGATAGAAACTACCTCCAGACATACACCGAAGGAAGGCAAACAGACAGAGTGAAAAACGTTTTCCAAAGGATCTCCGGTCCAGCCCAAATGGTGCGAGCAAAGTGACAAATTTGCCTAATACTGAGTTGCCACCCGATTCGCCCCGTTTTCCGTTCTACTGTTAACTCGGAATGGGCAGGTCAAAAACGGGTCGCCGCCGACGGAATCTCTGGGACCAGCCCGGCACGCTTGGAAGGTGGTGATGGTGTGCGTTATCTTGACAGCTGTGGTGGGAAGACAGGTCGCTCAGGTTCTTTTCGGACTGCTTCGCGCGCGGGTGGGCATTTGTCGGGGAAAGAAATACAGACTCGGATGGAAATTGATGATACAAGACGGTTTTTCTGAAGCTTTGGTTTCGCTTTATTTGGGTGTGTGTGTTTTTTTTTTTCGTTCTTCCTCGTGGTCGGTCGTCCCTTTTTCTTTGGAAAGCAAAATGGTGGAATTAATGAACTTTCACTTCGGTCATTTTTCCCGAGGCTTGTTTGAGGGATTTTTTGTATCTCTCTGATAGTCAGTCTATTTTGGGAAGTCATTTTACCAGGAATGAACTGATGAAACTAAAGAGATCAGCAGCGCTTAGTGGAGTTATGGAGGACTACCGAATGATCTTAAGGAATCAAGAGAGTCACATCAAATTATCTCACTATGGGATTTTAAAAGTATAATAGTACTCTCTTAACTGGGTCATATATATATAACTATGGCCTATCATAATAAACAACAACAGCATATACACTTTTTGTGTTTATCTTGCATACCTTACTGCTATTGTTTAAACCGCATGGGTGTGTTTAACGTGTTTTGTGAGGGTATGAGAAAACATTACACAGAAAAAAAAATCTGAATTTTAACTGTCGCGTAAAATCTCCCTTCGTTTAATTTTGAACTCCAGTTGGCCTAAATAACGAAATCTTTTACAAGCTTGCATACAATATTGCTAATTTAAGCGATATTGCGCTCAATTTAGCGTTAATTTTATGTGCGCTTTATCTCGCAGAAATTTACGTGATTTTTTCAAACGGTGTAGTTGACAATTGATAACAGAAAATTAATTCACTCAAGCTAGCACCACAGAAACAAAACATCTTCAAACAGATTGACGAACGAATGTAAATTCTTCGTACCAACGGACAGCAGTAGAGGGAATGAAGGATAAACTGAAAGACAGCCGAATTGCAACCGTTTGAACAAAATCATTCAAGCCAGGATGGTGGATCTCAGAAATATCGATTTTGCAAACAATATTCGCTCTCTCCCAGATTGGCTAAGCCATTCTGGAAAATGGCAAAGATTTTTAAAAAAATAAGCCGAGGCCCATCCCTCCCCTTTCCACTCCTCATCACAATTCGGATCCATCCTTACTCGTAACCCCAGTTGGTGAGTCCCCACGAGCCTGCAGTATGGAAGGCAATGCACAGTGAGCAAAAATTGACAAAACCGCGACCAAATTGGGGCTTCCCTTAGCTCAGTCGGTAAAGGCACAGCTACAAAGCAAGACCATGCTAGAAGCGGCTGGGTTCGATTCCCGGTCCAGTCTAGGAATTTTTCGGGTTGGAAAATTTCTCGACTTCCCTGGGCATAGAAGTATGATTGGACTTACCCCACAATCATATCAATGCAAAAATGGTACAGGCATCGAAAGCTCTCAATTAATAACTGTGGAAGTGCATCTAGAACACTAAGTTGAGAGCACGCAATAAGCTAATATGCGATATGCAATAAGCTTGAAATGCAATGAAGAAGAAGAAGCGACCAAATTGAATATCTCGGCTGCCAAAACGGTTTCAGTCAACATATAATACATATTCTCAAAGGAAAAAAAATCTGCTTAATCGATTGATGATGGTCTCATTGGCCGGAGACTTTGGCGTACAGAGATAGAGGGCCGGGATCAACTCGAGTTCCCGGTAAAGTAGGAAATTTCACTATCTATTGACATAATTTTACACTCTACTTAACGTATATTACTAGAAATTGATACTACTAAGTATATATCCCAAGTAACAATTCAGTAACCATTTAGCATCCACTCTAATTTATGATGGTTTTATAACGGCAATGAACAATCCATTTAGTTTAAATATAGCATTTTAAAGTGTAAAACATTCCTGCTTAGTAATTCAGCTTTTTGCTGTTTTAAAAACCTTTTATAGTCTGGCAAGAAAGTCATAAACTGTCTTGTTTTAAAAATAAATTTAAAACAGTTATCAATCCCTTCTTAAAACTGTTCTGTAATTCAAGCATAAATGTCATTTGCAATTGTTTATTAATTTCTTGATTAAATACTTAATAAACGTGTTCTATCATTATAAAAGCAACCATAAAACCATTAGGTTTTGCATTAGAGCAAAAAGCATTTATTGTTGCTGTTCAAGTTTTTTAAAGTGCATCATTAACTCCCCAATTACTCTGTTTACAAATTGAGCTTAAAAGATGGGTCCTCATAGTTAATAAATGCCAAATTTATGACAAGGAAATCTCAAAGGATAGACGAAGTAGGATGAAAAATTCAAGACGATTTCAGCAAAATTTACTCCTTTAGAAGAACCAGCACACCATCAACGACTGACTATTTGGCGGAGAGGAGCAAACTGAGCGGGGCCCTCTAATTCATATAACATTGTCGAAAGTTTAAAAACCATACCAGCCTTCTCCAGACATTTCGAAAAGATGACAACCGACAGCGAACCACTGAAATTGTTAGTTAGCGGAGATTAGCTGGTTTCCGATCCATAACAGTGATTTTATTCGGTGAAAGAATCAACTCTTCGAAAATTTCATTCAAGCGTACATCCCTGCATCGTTGGATGGTGCAATTCTGTAAACATCCGGAAGAAGGGGATCTTTTTCGGGAACGATTGCGCTTCCAGCTGTTCGAAATGCGAAATGTTGTAAAACAGTATCGAAAAATGGCTGAGTAACTGCTCCCAATCTATCGGGAGAAAACCACCTGGAAGAACCCTGGATTCCACAGCGCAACTATCGAAAGATAAACAAACTTTGACGTTTAACTTTTTGCAGACAACTTTGCCTCCACAAATGCTGCCATAAATCTGAACGGGTTAGGATCAAGCAAAATGGCTTTAGATAAATACAATTCAGCCTGCAAGTTTTCTTCATAAAAGCCAGGAGGTTTTAACCATGAAAATCAACTTTTATGCCACCGCCATGTTACAATTAGTTTGCTTGTTTTTTACAACGTTCGATTTTCAATCTATATTTTCTTAGATATAACTATATTTTGGTAAATTTTGCAATAAGCAAACATTTAAATGCCAAAATAATAAAAAAAAATCTCGGCCAAGCTCGATCTGAAGAATATATTTTATTTTTCAATGTTAATGGTTTCCTAGTGGATTCAGCGTTCGGCTAGGGGAAATGGCTCGGAAGTGTTGGTGGATGCATTAATGACAAAATAGCTTTAACCAGGGTTTTATGAATGTTGTTTTATAGTTGCTTTGTAGTATTTCATAAAACTTAAAATGTTACTTGGGATATAGCGTACAGACACCATATACACCCTCAGGAAAACTCTACTGGCCTAAACGAGGATCCGGAACGACCGATAAAGTGGCCACATTATAAAAAATGTCCTAGAACCTTGTGATTTTTTCTATGTTGTTCAAAATAAAGATCGTGGTTTTGTAGGACTGTTTACATGTTCTGACAACTTCTACGTCCATCCAGATTTTCCGGAGGATATGACCACTTTACACCAAAATTTAAATTCTTTATTAAATTCGCTTTGGCAGCCGACATATTCAATTTAGTCGCGGTTTTGCAAATTTTTGCCCAGTGTGCAATGTCTAGAGTCGTGGCCATCCCCGTAGTTGTCCCTGATGAAAGTAAAATATCGGCTGATGAGGTGATAGCAGTGATTAAATCAACCAATAACTTGAAGGCCGCTGGTGTCGATGGAGTGGTCAACCTCGAGTTGAAAAGCTTGAGTGTTGACTTCTTCGAGCACCTTGCAGTGGTCTGCAATAAGTGTGCTTGGCTACTTCGCTGCATGCTGGAAGTTAGCCAAAGTCATCAGATCATTCTCTGCTTGAAAGTCGAGCAGTATAGTTTGGTCTTTGCTCGCTCTGTCGAGTTGTTCGATAAACCTATAGTTTGTTATAAACGTTCGCAGATATACTGACGTCGCGTCGTCAGTAGTGTCGGTCGCATCGCGTGATGGGAAGACAGCGCTCCCGGAGCAGACTTCGTGACCAAGCGGAGAGGAAGAACAGTGGTGAGCTCTGTACCTACCTCAAATCAAATAGGTACGCTACTCTTCCCACCGATTTTGGGAATACCAACGCAGCTAGTGAAGCGGACGAAAAAGAGGAAGAAGAATCATGGACAGTCCGATGGTACGAGCGGACGCGACGAACGCCAGCGACATCGGTGATTTCGGCGACGCCGTCGAAAACCGAGAATTCTGCCGGCCCGAGTGCGGCGAAAGTCAAGCTTTCTCCACTGGTGGTGAAGCAAGTACCACTCAACACGCTGATTGGCGATCTCTCATTGCTGGGCGTTGCAGCTGAGTTTAAACTCGGCAGGATCGGCACCAGGGTGTTGCGCCGTACGAAAGCGGAGTACGAGGTGACCGTTAAATATCTGAAGGATTCCAAGGTGGAATTCTTCACGCATGACATCCCCGGTGAAAAGCCCTTCAAGGTAGTCATCAGGGGTTTACCAAACTTCGACCCCAAGATGATCGAAGCTGAAATCAACCGGTACAAGCTAACCCCAATCGCTGTATTCCGAATGACAAGGAGAGACGAAAACGTGAAGACGTACCCGGATTGTCTTTTCCTGGTGCACTTCCAGACGTCAGCTCAAAGCATTGCAAGCCATCCGATCGATCTACTCCATCATCGTACGGTGGGAGCCATCGTGACTTAACGCAGTGCCAGCGGTGCCTGAATTTTGGACACGGTACCCGCAACTGCAACATCACTGCACCAACTGAGCTCACGAACACGCCACTTCTGACTGCCCTGCCGTTGCGTTAAAATGCGCCAACTGTGGTGGTGCACAGCAAGGTTCCGACAGACAGTGCTCCAAACGCGAGGACTTCAAACGCATCCGAAAGCAGGCGGCAACTAACAACCAACCAGGACGCAAGAAGGACAAGGTCCCGGCATTTCAGATGGAGGATTTCCCGCCTCTACGTGCTCCTCAGCAAAGGCAAGAAAATTCGTGGGTGCATCCCGCTCAAGCAATTTCCGGTGATTCTCTACTGGCCAAAGTTCTCCATCCCCCCCTGGATTCTGGAGACAACCAACAGCGCAAAACAATAACCCCGATCTGTTCTCAGCGGATGAACTGATGGAAATTTTCGTCAAAATGTCCGGTGCTCTTCGTAAGTGCCGCAATAAACCCGAACAGATCCAAGTGCTCGGTAAGTTCATCATCCAGTATGGCGTCTAAACCGCTAATTATCGTCACCTGGAATGCTTGCTTGCTCTACCCTGGCGCACATAATCGACGTGGGATCTAAAGTCTAAAGTCGAGACCCATCTAAAGTCCTGCGACAGCTTCTGGTTGCCTGACCACAACATTATTCGGCTTGATCGCTTCAGGGGGGGTGGTGTTGCGGTCGTCGTCAAGAAAGAAATAAAATACCACACTCTGTCCCATATCCACACCTCTATCATCGAAGCCCTTGGTGTGGATGTGGAGTCGTCAACTCGATACGTCCAGTTCATCGCAGCCTACTGCCCTCGACAGTGTGCCGCCAGCAGTGGACTAGCGGCTAAATTCAAGAAGGACCTGTCCACCATCAACCGTACCGGTTCCCGCTTCGTAGTTGGAGGAGATCTAAACGCTTGTCATGAAGCCTGGCGGAACTACTAGCAAAACCAGAACGGTCGTCTGCTGTTCGACCACTCGCAGCATGAGCTGTACTCCGTTTAGTTTTCGTCACCGGCGGGCAACTCATCGACGCTAGACCTGTTCCTGACAAATACCGGCTTGTACAACGATCTCAGCTCCGACCACCAACCGGTGGTGCCTGAACTGGGCTTCAACGTGGCCCCTGCTCCAAGTCGGCATAAGGACTACCACCGCGTAAACTGGGCCACAGGCACATCATCGACAACCCACCGCTTGACACCGTGGAGGACATCGACCGAGCATTGGAGGGACTCTATCAAGCCATAACCGTGGCTGACGAGGTGTGTGTCCGACGAGTTCCTGTGAGGGGTAAGTTTATTACCATTGATTCCCACACCCAACTCTTGATTCGCCTGAGAAATGTTCGTAGACGCCAGTTCCAAAATGGCCGATGGAACAAGGGTTGAGTGGTCTGCCGAAGTAACCTATCTCGAGATGTTCGATGAAAAGTTCCTCTTCCGTTCGAATGTAGAGAAAACTGTAGTCAAGTGCCTTGGTTAGGTGTCTGTATCCGCTGATTTGCCGTAGATCCCGCCTCTCAAGGGTGAACAAACAAATTATAGCACCTGCGATCCTCTACGCAGTTCCGGTGTGGGAATCATGTGCACAGACTCACAGGAACAAAATCCAAGTCACTCAGAATAGAGTGCTTAGGATGATCCTTGATCGTCCCTTTGACATAAGGATTTCAGATCTCCACCAAGAGGCAAATGTTCCAAAATTAGATTTCAAAATTGGTAACATTAAGACTAGGTTTGTGCATAAATGCAATACATCAGAACATGCTTTTGATAAGCAATTTGTATATAGTAGGGTAGGTGTACATAGTAGTTGTAGGTTAGTTGTAGTTGTAAATAGTAGTTATAAGTAGTCTCCTTTTTCAAATTCAAAACAAACCAATCCCACCAAGGTGGTCATACTTTAAAACAGGCCTGATAGGACTAGGAACTGTAAATAAAAATTAAAATATCAAATGTACTAAAGTTGAAAAGACGCATTTGTGTCACTTGAAAATTCATATATGTAAACCACACAAACACATGAAATAAAAATAATTTAAACAAGAAACTCGTGGGGAAGTTGAAAAAATCTATATATCTCTTCGCGGAAGTGAATAATCACTGAGATTATTTCTAAAATAGTAGTTGCGGTAGTACACAATGCCTCTCAAAAATAATTACAGTTAATATTCACTTCCGCTAAAAGATATACGTACCGTTTCAACTTAACTATGATGCTTTATATCAAAACATTGAACCGGCGGAGAGCCTGTAGACGAGCTTTTGCTCTGACTTTGATGTTCAATAACTGTACCCCCTAATTTTCAATTAATGTTGTACTAAGCACCTACTTATTGGAAACCAAACGTTCGATTTGAGAAAAGACACAGTATTCTATTTTGCAACATTCTACGAACACGCTGTAAAGTACATAATGATGATGAATGATAATTTTATTTTAAGGTTAGGTTAGGGTTGTCCTTCAAAGAGGTGCTTAAATCCCGTATGATCATTATACCCCTTCCTCCCCTACTTCGCTGATATATGAACCAACATTTTGTTCAATATTGAAAGTACCGTCTTCTGATAGGGAAAACAACTGCTTGTTGCGATATCATAAAATGCAACCTTCACTCTCTTCTCTGCTTCAGAGACCTTATTTAAAACTAATGATGGAGTTACTGAAAAACAAAATAACGTATTTTTTGGGAATTATTTTATCCCACAACATGCATAGCATTTTTGTGTACTAGGTGGTTTGAGGTGCAAATCAACAAAAAAATGTGTTACGAAATAGTGTCAGTTTCTATTGTAGTCGATGTCGATGTCGAATTTAGTGCACATTGATCACAGTAAAAAAGTTCAATTCTTGGGGGCGACCCCGGCGTAGGGTTAGCATCCATACCTCTCACGCCAAAGTCACGAGTTCAAATCTCAGCCCAAGAGCGTTAAAGTGACTATAATACAAAAAATCAATTCTTAGCCAT